CTCTTCACAAAGTGTGGATGGTCCTGTACGAAACCTTCACCACTATCAACAGTCTCATGTGTTGTTGTCAGGCTGTCGGTTTCCTAGGAACTGATTTGCTTCACCCTCATACGTCGTATTCAACGGGAGAGTCGAGTATGTATATATATATATATATATATATATATATATATATAATATATATAAAAAAAAAAAGGCTTAAACACTAATATTCCATGGTCATAATTTATTCCATTGGAATCGTAAATACGATCCAATTCATCAGATCTACAAATTCAAAAAGAAAACAGAAAAAACAACTCCGGAAATAAAACCAGAATTTAGAGAGAGTGTAAGTATGAAGGTGTGGGACGAATGTTAGAGCTAAAGAGAGGGGTAACAGACTAGAGAAGGGGGGAGATTAAACCTTAACAGAGAGAATTTTAGGAGTGGTGAGTGGAATGGGTTTAAGTAAGAGAAATATGAATGTTTTCGGATGTCTAATGCATAAAGATAATAAAAGATTTCTAAAATTAAAAGTTATTACCAGCAATATATTTTTGGAAAAAATATAACCAGTAATAAAAATCTTGTCGACATTAAATAACCCATTGAGGTTGATATGCCGTAAAACAAAAGAAAACAAATAAACCAAACTGTATTAGAATATATAATTTCTCTTAACTAATTATAAAAAATACAATTTTTACCAAGTAACCACTACTCAAACTAAAATTGGTTGACATAAAACATGATGCTATAGACAAAACAGCTACACTAATTACATTGTTCGGACTATCATCCTCATCTTGGTTGCCATATTTATCACAACGTTTCGGCCGTTGTACGCTCCGGCCTTCTTCAGGTGATTGCAATGTCGAACTGGACCCTTTATTTCGCTGGCTGGGGTAGGCTGTTCTAGTTCCACGTGCCATGTCTAATGGATGTCATTTATTAGTTATCTCCAGTTAATTCCCCTCTCCAAGTTATCCATCGCCTTAACCAGGTATTGAACTCACACTATTTGGGTCCTCTCACTGGATCTAACTAACTCCTTTATCCACTGTGCCTTGTGTCCTTGGGGATAAATATAGCAACAAAGATGAGGATGATAGTCCGAATAATGAAAATAGTGTACATAATACCTCATCTCAGAAATATAGACAGCTACAATACAACTACGATTCAAAAGCTTTACTTGGCCTATATTTGTTGATGGGCCGTAGAAACCAGGCCTGTATGGAAAGGCTTAATCTTACCAATATCTACAGCTGTTTACTGTTGTTATCTTAATAAGATATGAAAAACGTCACTTCCTCTAAGGGAATATAGGATTTCTCGAGTCCTTTCGATATTGTTGAGAATGCTAAGAATGGCTTTTCCGATTAAGATCACTATACGGCTTACAACACTTCATGGTGCCAATATAAAAAAACTTAGGAATATTTCACGGTATATCATACATTAAGAAGAAAAAAAGCCTCGAGGAAGAATTACCTATAACAGCATACTTTTAAGGCCGATTAATTTTAATGTATGACCCGCAGCGAATCCATTTACGTCAAAAAAAGCCATCCGTTCTTCTTTATGCTCTGTGAAAGAAGATATTTTTTGCAACGCTCAGTATTTTTACAATTAGCACAGTTAATATCGATGAACTTTTTGTCTGCCGTATTTCCGGTTTACATGACACTGCGGCTTGGAAGACGCACCCTTATATTGGAAAGAAATTTCTAAGAAAAATAAGTCATTCTCATACAACACATTTACCAAGCGTCCCTCACATACTACTGCCACGTATTGTTTACATTAATCACGATTTTGTTTGTATAGCAATGACATACTAGTCAAGAGCAGAAAGGATCCCGCCGCTGCTAGGAAACAAAGCATGTTTAAGCTTGTGGCTCGGCTCCAGGAAGATATAATCTTGGAAATACTTGTAACAGCTCAGTACTGAGGTTACATCATATAAAAGGCTAACATTATAGTGTAATGACTCAACATACGAATTCACGACCCTATCAGTCAAGCCAATTAGGTGACCATCCAAGTTTATTTGGGCGTTGCCTTACATTCGTCTTGGAAGACGCACACATATTTTCCAGGTTTTTTTTAGGAAAAAAGTGCGTCTTGTAAGCCGGAAAATAGAGTAATCAGAATCATCTTCTTCATTAGAAGGAATACAACACACAAGAAGTTGATTTACTTGTTTTTACGGCTTATTAAACTTCTGCAGATAATTTGAAGTCGGAAAGCGTTTTGACATTGCAAGATTATTTTTTTAGATAATAACGTTTTTTTTTTTTTAATGATACAAGTTTCACTAATTAAATTATAGCCGGTGAAGGAGAAGAGTCGAATTCCTCCATTTTTGTAAGAATATTTGCGTGTATGTGAATATGACAAACCAAACTGGAATTAAAACTAAGCTCTCCCATTTTCTAATTCTAATATCCATTACGCCACCCAAATATTCAAGCCTACAACATTTTGTAATTCTAAGCTTTCAACCCTGACCAGTCTTGATGTTGCTTAATAATGTTGACTGCATGCGTACCCGGGTTTCAACCTGATATAGCCATAAGCCCGCACGCAATAAATGGTCGTTCTTGAATGAGCTACTGATAAAAATGTGACCAGCCATGCAAGAGATGATGGCTACAACAATGAATCTTGTTAACCGTTGATTCCAGGCCAAAATTACGGAGTACCGACTGATGACTAATAGTAATATAATTGTAATAGCCAATGGAGATGATAGTAATATTTATGGATGAGCTTTCAAAAAATTTCCTCACCTCTGACTCAATACGTCAATAGATTAAAAACTGGTTTGAAAGTTTTATTAACTCAAAAATTCAAGATTGCAAAGTTCCATCATCACCGTTCAGACATTAAGTTTCTAGTCAAAATGAACAGTTCCCCTATCAATGAGAGCCCTGATTTTTAATGTATACGGGGTGTAACTGCAAAATTGTCTAAATCGTGTAACAGCAAATTAATTAATCATAGCTACTGATTGGAAGCTCATGAATGATTAAAATAACGTTCAAATATATACATATTATTCCGGGATCTTTTTCCAACATATTCAAGATGATCTTCGCCCTCTCTAACCTTCTAAATTTATGTCCCGGAGTAACAAGTTGCCTCATACGTTTCACGCACGATTTTATTTTTAAGCCCTTTTTTCACATCTTTTTGTACTGTCATAGGTGAAACTTCTTTTTTTATGTGCCAAACGTTTTATGAATTAAGTTGATCTGTTCTAATTGATCTCTTTAGCGATAAGTTGAAATGATGATCGCTTTTCTTCTTGTGACTTCCTGATCCAGTTTTCCTCTCTACTGTTCCCTCTTTTTAAAAGTTATTCGCCGTTCTCTTCATGATTCTTGAATGGATTCGAAGATGAGAGCCAGAGTATCAATGTCGGTACCATTACTGAAGGCCTGAATGCTCTTTTTCCTCTCACCATTACTTAGATGAGAAAGCAGTGAGTCTGACACAAAACGATTTTAACCTTTTTCTCTTTCTAGCTTAATGACTCAAAGTGTTTTGCAGTGATTTTTACGAAAAATGGTGACAGGATGGCTAAGCGTCTTATCTGATAATCAGGAAAAAAGAAACTCAGTTAGATTAGTGGGTTTTTAGATATTAAACATTTCGCGGAATGGACAATTATGCTGTTACACAATTTGGACAATTTTGTTGTTACAGCAGATATTGTGTGGAAATCCATGGGTTGCATTATAAATAAATTACTCATATAATGATAAGACGGTAGGAGAGATATATATATGGGAGGTTTTTCTACTGCACCCTATATAATGCATTGCTAAATTTACTGCGAATTTGGTTTGATCATTTTTTTTTCTGTCCAGGAAGAGGCTGACTCCTGTTTATGTTTACAAGAGTCAGATTAGACCAAAAATGGAATATTGTTGCAATAGCTGAGCTTGATTTGATTAATTCAAACATGGCAGTGTTCAAAATAATTTATTCGGACTTGTAGAGGAAGATATATCCTTGGAGTTTAATTTTCTTCATATCTTCCGTATTTTGAATGTAAGTATAAAGTCCCACTTAGATTTTTTCCCCAAGAAGTATTATTGGTGGAAAAGACTCCCCTGTGAATGCAACCTTAAAATTGCAATCGTAAGGTCTTCAAGTAGCAACATCTATCTATTCTCCTTATCCTCCTAATTTCACAAACTTCTGTTTCCTTCTACATTCATATTACACGCCTCATTCTTTCTTGCAATTGTAAAAATAAACCTAATAAAATAAATTTTTGAGTGGTCTTCACCGTTGGATTGGGTGAATTTTAGTTTAAAATATACTCCCAGTTAGTTGATTATTATGAACATTACCCGAGAATTCTAAAACTAGATTAAGCGTTACATTTATTGTTCGCCCTGGGTATGACGATAAACTATGTCCACGTTCTGGGTAAGACGATAAACTACGTCCAGCAGCAAGGCCTCTGATCAAGAGTTTTTGAGGAGCGTGGAACCACCTCGTAATTGCTGATGTTCTCAGGTTCACCCTGACCCGGGGTGGTAGCACCTGTTAGCGCCCCAGCTACGGGAAAATAATTAACTCCTATACTGGGGTAAAAACACTATTAAAGTGTAAAAATAGGTTTTAATACCAGAAATACTTTGTAAAAAAATTATTACCAGCAATAAATTTTGGGAAAAAAAAAACTATTACCAGTAATACACTTTTGAAAAAATATTACCAACAATGTTTTTTTTATAAAAAATATTACTAGCAATACATTTTTGAAAAAAAAATATTACCAGCAATACAGTTTTGGCTGGAAAATATTACCAGAAATAGACTTTTCACAAAACAAAATATTACCAGCAATAAAAAAAAAATTTCGGCATTAAATAACCCATTGAGGTTGATAGGCCGTAAAACATACCAAACCAAACAATTATTGTATGAGTCTGTAATGGCTATAAACTGGTGTGTTTGTGTGATAATGTAGGAAAGGAATAGCAAGGAAAGAATTATCAAGAAAAGGAGAGATAGAGAGATAGAGAGATAGAGAGAGAGAGATAGATAGATAGAGAGAGAGATAGAGAGAAAGGTCGATATAGAGGGGCGGAGTTACTACACGTGAATTGTTTTTGAAAATAAAAAGCCAACGTGAATATTTATGACAAACTTCCAGCTGAGAATATAAAGAACGTTTTTTCCTTGAAGGGTGTAACAATCAACATCAACGGCGTGAAAAGACCCAAGAAGAATGGCTGCATAACCCACAATAAGCACTTCAAACAGATAAAAAAATTTAAAGAAGCTTAAGACTTAATGTTTATAGTTGTATTTTGCATACTAAAGTAAAAGAAGCAAACTTAACACAAAAATATTTTACCGCACATTTCAGGAGAATATTCCTTTTTATTCATCTTGGGAAGTTGCGATTAAAAGATAGGCTGCCGGCTATAATGAACCAAATATTTATTTTATACATTCCTCGTTTCAAGTTTAGTGGCATGCATTACGTTTACATTATTTTTAACGTAAAACAAAACGACTTTTTATTTTTATGTTATATTTTTATGTTTTTATTTATTTATTTATTCTTATTTAATTTTTTTATTTTAATTTTACATTCTTTTTAGTGTAAAACAAAATGGCTTTTTATGGGCTTTTATAACATCTCCCTTTCTCTAACCACAATTAGTAAAATAATTGCTTTTAGTTGCTGATATGTCCCGGAAAGGGATATATTTGTTCGAAGTTGCAAAGTGGTTTTGGACTACTGTAACCGGGTAGGACAATCTAGCAGGTAAACGTAATGGACTGGTCCTCGTCGTAGTGGTAGGCAATAGGCGTAGGTAATAGGCGTAGGTAATAGGCGTAGGTAATAGGCGAAGACAATAGGCGTATTCCCTGTACCTCAACATCAGTCTGTATTTATGTCTGACACCAGCCAATCATATTACTGTGAGGCGGAATCCAGGTGTATGCATATTCATTACATCAATTGTTTTTTTATAATTATGCATCCGGCGAAAAGTCACGCGTAAAATACATTTTAATACCAATCTTCTTTTATGTATCATGTACTTCAACACTCCACGACTTTCTTTCATTTGTTGCTATTGTTCATTTACTATACCTCTTGGTCTTTTTTCTGTTATTTATCTACTCATGCATCTTAATAAGGTTACCCGCTATTACTCCAGATTCCTCTTGTGAGGGTTAAATTCTCGAAGCCTCCTTTCTTCTTTCTGTTTCATTGAAGCTTAGGATATCTATTTCTAATTAACAACAATTATTATGCAGTTCTTTTTCTGCTTTTCATGGATTCTGCTCATAATACGAGATGCATTCTAGATGTTTTGAGACATTCTTTAGGCAAGACATTTATTACTCTCCTAGAAAATTATTATTAAGTAGATATTACTATATATCTAATTATCCGATCTATCAAATATTATTATAAATCGAAGGAGATGTCTGTAATAGCTCGTTGAACCCAAACACTGCTTGTCACAGCTGATTCATTTGCAGAATGCAATCGGGGCTTGAAGGCAAATTTGGAGCAAGCTACGCAATGAAGCTTAGTGACAATAATGCGACAGAAATTTATGAAATGCTTCCAAGTGCTTATGGATCAAATTGTATGTGTCGAACATCTGTTTTTCGCTGGCACAAGAGGTTCAAGAACGGTAAACAGGAGGCGAGAGACGATGAGATGTGGGAGAGAGAAGGACATCAAAAATTAGTGCTATTTGAGAAAATTTGCAGTCTTCTGGATGAAAACCGTCGTATGTACATAAAGATATGCTATGACCATTGTATGCAGAATTATGCATGAAGACTGAACATGAGTAGAATTTGTTCCCCGGATGCCCAGTAACGAATAGAAAAAAAAACAAAAAAAAAACGCGTTTAATGAAAGCAGAAATATGGTTGATGGGCATCAAAACTTCCTTTACTTTCCCTGTATTCCACACATTACTCCCTATGGCATTTGGTTGTTTCCTTAGCTAAAGGAAAACATCAGGTGGGGGGCAGTCGTTTTGAAGACTTTGAGAAGATGAAGGAGGATATAACAAGGGGCCTGAACACCTTCAATTTGGATGACTTCAACGGACCTTCACGAAATGGCTGTAGAGCGAAACATATACACTGAATTTAGAGAATATTTGAAGGAAATTAGTGTTATGTACTTTTCTTTTTAGAACGTTATTCAGCCTGTAGAAGGCCAAAGAGCCACTCGGGTTAATGGGTTACAGAATAAGAGACATAGTTTATTAGGATATGTGGGGAAGAATACGGTTGTCCTAGACTTGAACAGGTTAAAATTGTAGTGATCGGGGAAGCATTTTCTTGTGAGTCGGCACCACAAAATATTTCTTTGAAAGGAATATATATCTCTCCTGAAAAAAATCTTCAATTTCCCGGAATATCAATTCGTATTCTTTGTATTCATATGTCGAAAACATTAATACCAATAAAAAAAAACAGATTTAATAATCTCAAAGAGATACAAATAATTGTTCTGACAAGTACAGCCCACACTTTACGAATGGCTTTATCTATCATTTTTTTTTTATTTGCAGTGGAAAGTGTCATGATGCCATTTCTAACCTTAGGTCCTTGGGCGGAACCCGGAAAGAAATGTGTAAACGCCAGAAATCAAAGGAAATTAAAATAATAATAATAATAATAATAATAATAATAATAATAATAATAATAATAATGTGGCATATAGGAACATCAATAATCCCTCTTGTAGTTGGAGCCCTAGTATTGTTTGGAAAAGATTCCAGTTGACTAAGTGAAGGAATTTCTGGAAGCCCATACCTCAAAGAGATACAAAAAATTGTTCTCACAGGTACAGCCCACACTCTACGAAGGGCTTTATCTATGTATTTTTTTTTTTTTTTTTGGTCAGTGGAAAGTGTCATGCTGCCATTTCTAACCTTAGGTCTCTGGGCGGGACCCGGAAAGAAATGTGTACACACCAGAAATCAAAGGAAATAATAATAATAATAATAATAATAATAATAATAATAATGCGTTCTGATTTGAGAATGAAACGGATTACCAAATTCAGAGTAGATGACGTGATTTATTTCAAGTAACCAAAATTGAAGAACATTACAAATCGTGGATTTTCCGTTCTGGCGAAGCACAAACGAAATCTGAAAGTGAATATCTAAATATGTGTTCTAGACATTACCCGAAACTGAGGTATTCCTGAAAGAAGACAGAGATATTAGTGCCATTCATTTTCAGAGTTTTCGGAACTGGTGAGAACAATCTGAGTAATAGATTGAGAGAAAAAGAGGAAATAACGGGAAGAATTTGCATCACCCAAACGGGAGCATGACTGAAAAAAATCTGAACTCTTAAGGAGACTTGTGGCTCTTGACATTCAAAATAAACCATCAGTTACTACTGGTGTGAACGCACAAGGATTAAATGTACAATGAGAACATATAATAATAATCAATGTGTATTTGTTTCTATAATTTCTGCCCCACGTGTAGTGGGAAAGTAAGGTAAATTAACTTAGTAAATTTATGAATAATTACTTCCCTCTGTCGTTTTAATAACATAAACAAATAAAATATCTATCTGCATTTAGACAAAACTAGTTCGCCAGCAAAATGAACAGATATGAACCGAAAAAGAAGCTGATGAATTTCGTCCGAGCCGGGGAAACGGTAAAGATATTACAGAAGGAAAAAATGCCCCAGCTACGTTCTACCCCCGGACATGCAAATTATTGTTGGTATAGGGAGTTAGCAAAAATTCCCAGGGAAAATATTACAGACTAACCTATATCCGGACATGATTATTTATTCAGAAAAGACCATGAAATCCATCATGTTAGAATGAAGAATACATTGGGATAAAAACATGGACGGAGTCAACTAAAGGATACTTGTGAAATATTTGTATATTGTAGAGGAATGCAAAAAGCGTGGTTGGCAAGCTTAGTGCGAACCGACTGAAATCGGATTCAGAACCTTTGCTTGTCGGTCACTATCTAAGATACTGCTAACATTAGGTTTGGTTTGGTTTGGTTTACGGCATATCAACCTCAATGGGTCATTTAATGCCGACAATTTAGTTATATATGGTAATATTTTTGTTTTGTCAAGAATCCATTTCTGTTAATAATTTTATTTTCTCAAAAATGTATAGCTGGTAATATTATTTTTTCAAAAACGTATAGCGGGTAATATTTCTTTTTCAAAAACGTACAGCTTGCAACATTATTTTTTTCAAGAACGTATTATCAGAGGACTTGCTGTTGGACGTAGGTTATCGTTTTACCCAGAACAGGGATTTAGTTTATCGTCATACCCAGGATGCTGATGTAGTTTATCGTCTTACCTAGGACACGGATGTAGTTTATCGTCATACCCAGGACGCGGACGTAGTTTATCGTCATAACGAGGACGCCCAACATTAGGTGTAACAGGCTTGGAAAAGAATAACAATAGTAATAGCAGCAGAGGAAACCTCTAAATCTTTATGGTTTAAAAGATCAAGTGATTGGCAGTTAGTAAGGCAGTGAGGGGGAGTTTGTGCTTGATTTTTTTTTCTTTCGAGGGAACTGGAATTTTGATCTTGGGGATAACCGAAAACTACACCCGATAATGGAATCGCTACGAAGGGTCGGAATTAGGGCAACCGAACCGTTGTTACCAACAGGTGATCTAGCACCTGTCTGTATATACAATAGCCACAGAGGGAAGGTTTATATATATTTTTTATTGGATGATTACCATAATGCTTGTATATATCTCCGTGAGGGGAAACAAAAACATTACTTTCCACTTTAATCCGATCGCGTCGCCATGTTCCTTACCACATCCAACCGTTACTGCGTTTGCTGCCTTCTATTTATGGTACTACGTTGATTGCTGACGAAGCAGAAGTTATCTGTGATTGAATTATAAGTTGCCAAGAGGATTCCTAGTGTGTGATTAAAAAAAATGCAGAAAATTATAGCTGAATGATGGCGCACAAGATGGTACCCGATCAGTATCGGCTGGGTCAGTGTGGAGAAGGGGTATGAGGTTGAAAGCCTCGAAGATGATAAAGATGACGATGATTATCATCATCATCATTATCATCGT